GAAAGTAAAAGAAACCTTTAGAAGCCCTAGAGAAACAAGGTATTGAGAGGCCTTATACAGGGTGTCCCAGAAATAAGTGCAAGTATTTTAAAGGCTGATAGATCGTAGATCTCCATAAAAGAAACATATAGAAACCTTTAGAAGCCCTAGAGAAACAAGGTATTGAGAGGCCTTATACAGGGTGTCCCAGAAATAAGTGCAAGTATTTTAAAGGCTGGTAGATCGTAGATCTCGATAAAAGAAACATATTTTCTCTTTATTGTTTTTCAAATAAGTTCAAAATAACGGAGTTATTTTACTTTGAAAATTTCCAAAAAAAACTATTTTTGCTAAAATATTGAGAACCACTTGATCTTTTCTGGATTTTCCTTCTTGTAAATTTAATCTAATACCTATGTTGCCATATTATCAAGAAATTTCCAAAATATTTTTCAAAAAATTTAGAATTTTCAAATTTTTTTCGCGAAAAAACCTCATAGGCGTGTTTCTGGGGTTGAACTATACCACCAGTTAAAATACTTGCACTTATTTCTGGGACACCCTGTATAGAAACTTTCGCAAATATATACAAAGAAGTCAAAGCAAGGGTAATGATTTATAAAACAACCCCAGATTTCCCAACTGGCAAAGGAGTACGAAAGGGAGACGCGATATCCCCAAAGCTGTTTACAGCAACATTAGAAGAAATCTTTCGTCACTGGACCAAGAAAGGATTAAAAATAGATGGAGAATATTTTAACCATATCTAAGATTCGCTGATGACTAGTCCTAATTGCCAATAGTCCTGAAGAACTAAAATCACAAATTATTGAACTAAATACAGCCAGCAATAAAGTGGGTCTTAAAATGAATTTAGCAAAATCTAAAGTAATGTACCTACAACGAAGTAGTGGAAAGAAAAGACATTCTAATAAATAACACAACACTGGAAATAGTAGAATACATATCTTTAGGACAACTAATACACAGCTCGGGATCTCTACTACCAGAAACCAATCGAAGAATTAGGTTAGCATGGAGTACTTATGGGAGAAACTCAATTTAAATATAGAATCCCACTCTATCTAAAGAGGAAAACCTTTGACCAATGTGTACTACTAGTCATGACCTATGCATGCGAAACCTGGACACTTAAAACGGACATCATAAAGAAACTGCAGGTGACACAATATTCAATGGAACGGAATATGCTGGAAATAACCAAGAGAGACCCTAAAAGAATAGAGTGGATACGACAAAAGACCCAGCTAATAGACGTCATCCTCAGAGTCAAAATCCTCAAATGGCAATGGGAAGGACATATGGCAAGAAAAATGGACGACAGATGGACCACAAAAATTACAGCACGGTACCCACGAGGAATTAAGAGACCTAGAGGAAGACCGAACCTGCGATGAGATGGGACCATGATATTAGGAAATTAGCAGGGTTAACTTGGGCCCGCACCGCCAACAATAGACAACAATGGGACCAACTAGAAAGAGACTACGTGAGGGAAGCTACATCATCAATTGGAAATGGTTGAATAAGCTTAAAATGGCGATGATGATGAATTGTAGGTGATTAAACCGGTAAAATATGAACAACGCATTCTGCATCCACTGAAGCTGACAATAACAAAAAAGTCAACAGAGAATCTCAAGCATGGGCGCCGCAAGAATGAAATTTAGGGGGGGGGGGGCAAGGTAAAAATGAATATAAAATTGAAACACATTTTTGGTAATTATTGGGAAAACTGGAAATCGTCCGATTTTCACCAAAATTGGTATACACCCTATTTTGAAGTCGTAGACTACGAATCTGAACTTTTTCTTTTCGGCGTCTCTCAGAAAAACGGAAAATAATTCAATATCGAATTTTTCTTAAATTTCATATTTTTAAGGTTTTCTAGCACATATTTGGTTAGGTATTCAATAATCAATGGTGTTTTTGCTATTTTCTGTCGCTTTTTAACCAATTCTATGCATAATAGAGGAAAAATTGCTAAAATAAATTTGTAAACAATCTGAAAATGTTAGGTTATAGCTTTGTTCGGGTTCTTGTTATTACCAATTCTGAACCGTCATAGAACTCTGCAGCGTATGCGCAAATGAAATAATGTCTTCATGTTTCCTTCTGCGCATACGCATCACAGTTCTAGTACGGTTCAGAATCTGTAATAAGAGAAACCCGAAGTAAGCTTATGTGTTTCTGGCATTTAAAGCAATGTTGCTAAACCTAAATTTAGCGTGCTTTTTTCGCTCATTCTGGAATTACGAAAGGGGGTCGCCAGAAGAACGTCTCCTTCCCATAAGTGCTATTTTACCAACGAGATCTGACTATTTATACCCACGAAGTTGCACGAAAGAGTTTTGATTGCATTGGTTACAACTTCCATGCGGAGGGTGTTAATCTTTTGTTGTTATATAATATCAAAAAAAGATTAACCCCCTCCGCAAAGAAGTTAAAACCAACGCAATCAAAACTCTTCCGCGTAACTTTGTGGATATAGGTGTATATTTAATTATTGTCGATCTCATAATAGGTAATTTATTTAATATCCCTAATCACCCGAAAAAATAGAAGATATGGCAACGTTGTAAATTTTCAAATTTCTAGATTAGGTCTAGAATATATTTGTCTCTCTCATTACATAGGAGAGAGAAAGAAGGATATATCAAATGTCAAACTTCCATCTGGTCTCAATTGTTTTAGTTATTTTGTTAAGAAAAGTGTTTTTCAGTAAAATACTGGACATTTTTCTATCCCCAATCAAGTGTGGCTTTTAGATAAACTATAATATAATGAAAATATAGTGAAATTATTACTTTATAGGGCCGAAATAAAGAAAAATTCAATTGTTGTTGAAGAGGCCGCCAAGAAAAAAATAGATTCGTAATCTACGACCTCAAAATAATATAATAATTTTGGTGAAAATCGGACGATTTCCAGTTTTTCCAATAATTACCACATTTTTTATTATTTTACAGGTAACACCTAAATATTTCATAATAATGATTATTTTTTTACAGATGGATGTAAGAAGATAGCTTTTATTTTTATTGTTTCAGTGATCCAGGGGGGCAAATGCCCCCTCTTGCCCCCCCTGTCCGGCGCCCATAATCTCAAGAGTAGGCCAAAGAGCAACGGAGAGAGTCATGATTGGAATCTCCAAAAGAGACAGAATACCTAACAATACCATCAGACAAAGAACTTAGTTGATCAAATACTTAGTTGAACGCATAACCAGAACAAAATGCAAATGGGCCAGGTCATATAGCGAGAACATCAAAGGACATCAGGTCGACTAAAAGAATATTGGAATTCACACGATTCCAATATTCTTCACGATTCAAGATAAATGTAACAAAGGTAGACCACTGACGCGCTGCTGGAGCTATGGTACAAAACGAATCGCTGGGAATTGAATAATACCGGCCCAGTAGGTACATGGATACTATGTCCAGGATACGTAACATGGATGAACTATGTCCAGCAGTGGACAGTGACGGCTATGTGATGATAATGAACTCCGCGAGAGATAAACGAGTCTCTAAGCAATTTAAAATAAATTTAGTAACAAAAAAATATATAGCTATACATAGGTACTTCGCTATCTCTTTGCAGGCTCTGACAAATCCGACAAGTGGCTACTGCACCACACTGCCGCGCCACGATAAACACCACATAGTCGTCGGTCGGCCATCGCGATCGGATTTGAGAATCGCGGGACCGACGGGGAGAGGGGGAACCTATTATTCTCTTCCCACCACGACAGGCTGCGGCGCTAGCCGTACGGTGTCGCCACCAGCGGCTACCGCGAGAAGCGCGATAATTAAAGTCGTGCGCGGCGATGTTGCCGCCTCACGTCTAATATTGGAGACAACAAGAAAAAATAAGAGTAATTTTACAAAAAATATAAGTATTTTTACAAAAAAAATATTGATACACCATGGTATTTTTAGCTGACCATACCAATAGGTGTATGGTAGGCTATTAAGATCGGCAAAAAAAAGTTTTTTTAATTTCACTCAAAATGAGTTATTTGGTTCATAAATGACCTAAATACAAAATATTTTCATGGTGTCTGTCTGTCTGTCCGTCTGTAACACGATAACTCAAAAACCGCTAAACCGATTTTAACCAAATTTGGCACAAAAATACTGTGGCACCCGAGAATCTGGCCATTAGTTTTTGGTGGGAGTGTGGGGTTGGTAAGGGGGTATGGAAAGGGGTTAAAAATTTTAAAAAATCGTAACTCCAAAATTACAGTAGCTAGCGAAACGCGGTTTTCAATTTAAGATTAGGAATAGCAATAGCATATTTGCAACAAAATTTGTAATAACATCAAAAGTCGCAGTTTTTGAGATAAAAAAAATTCGAAAAATTACTTTACTTTGAAACTAAAAGACTACCTACTAACTGCCTACCAACTTTTTATTAACATATTGTATGGGCGGCTATATACGTGCCTTGCGGCGCCAATTTTTAATAAGAAACTTGTAAAAATAAGATATTTTTACATAGTTTCACAAAAAAATGTAATTTTGCAAAACAGTAATCACAATATAATAATATTATGATTAATAGTAATAATTATTACAAAACGATATTATTTTCACAATGAGTTTTCTGAGTTTAAAAATTAAATTTAAATTAGAAATACAATCTTGTAGCAAAATTGCATGTCTCTAGACATGTTCACAAAACTTGTGTGAATTTACCATAATATATTTAGTAAAAAATGACGCCACGTCACGTGACTTCTTGTAAAGCTCATGCCCGTTAAATAATCGATTGAAAACGTAGTTAGGACGAAAGACGAAGAACATTTCAGGAGTCTCAGAGCGTGGGTGATTAGTGTTTTTATAATTTAAGGGTAAGTATATTATATTAATTATGGTTTATATGTAGTTTCTGTAAATATAAAGCCAGCCCTCTTAGAAAACACAATCTCCATTTATTATAATTATTTGCATTTTAATTTTAGCGATTTTTTATGTAGGGGAAACTGGGGTAAGATGACCATTGGGGTAAGATGATTAATGCCAAAATTTTCCATTATAAATAAATATTTTGATTTGTAAATTTGGCAACATCTAAAGCGTTGCATGCGGTATTAAGAAAAGACGGCCATTTGTCGCAGCAGTTTGTAGTTTAACGCACACGTGCCCGAATTGTTTTTCTCAACGGTTGTTATAATATTTTGGCTAAAGTTTTTAGTGGTTGTGCTTGTTAATGAGTAAGTACGATTTTCAATATTTTTACAAATAATATCCTGATAATAAGAGTAAACAACCAATGCTTGAATGTATTGATATTTTTTTGTTTCAACTTTGAAATAAATAAATAAGGTTATGTGTGCATGGGGGGTAAGATGGCGGGGGTAAGATCACGACATCGTCATCTTGCCCCAAGATCGTCATTTTGCCCCATAAATATGTGTTATACCTTTTAGCGTGATAAATATCATTACTATGATATTGTTTTCATTACAGGATGCCGAGAAATTACAAACGAAAGACCAACCGTAGAAAATGGGATGACGAATCCCGTAGGTTAGCGCTGCAAGCTGTCGAACAAGGTACCTTATCTTGTAATGCGGCAGCTATTAGATACAACATTCCTGAGCCAACGCTGAGGCGATGCCGAAAAAAGCAACTTACAGGAGAAGAACTTCCACATCATGCGGGTCGATTTAATCAAACTTTTACACCTCAACAGACTGAAGAATTCGTTCAATATATCACAGAATGCAATAGCCGTGGCCTTGGAATGACTTCAGTTCAAGTGCGAAAATTAGCTTTTCAATTTGCCGAGGAAAACAAAATACAACACAGATTTAATCGCGAAACCAAAACAGCAGGAGTTGATTGGTTTAACGGGTTTAAAGCAGCCAACCGTCTTAGCCTGAGAAACCCAGAAGCCACATCTGTTGCTCGTCTTAGAGGATTCAACAAAGTCTCAGTTGAAATCTTTTTTTCTATCCTTAGAGAGGTTAAAGAAAAATATAATTTTACTCCTGATCGCATCTATAATGCCGACGAATCCGGTCTATCTACAGTGCCAACGAAACTACCAAAAATTTTAACGCCTAAAGGACAACGTCGAGTAGCCAAAATTGTATCCGCCGAAAGAGGCCGCACAACCACTTTAGTTTGTTCTATGAATGCTGTAGGTTCTTATGTTCCGCCTTATTTCGTATTCGCTCGTCAACGAATGAAACCTGAACTGTTAAATGGCTGCCCACCTGGATCGCAAGCAACGGCACAAAGTTCCGGATGGATGACGGCTGATAGTTTCCTGGCATATCTAAAACATTTTGTTAGATACGCAAAGCCTTCCGTTGATGACCCTGATTTTTGCATTTAAGTCATCTTACCCCAATGTGTTCGTCATCTTACCCGTTATATGGGGTAAGTTGACTAAATTGACTTGTTCTTTGTTTTTGCTTTTTTAGAAAAAATGATTTAGTTTATGTGATTTTTGTTACCTATATAATATAGCAAACATGTTTGTAGTTTTGTAGTTTCAATATTGTTTCTTAAAATAAATATTTTCAAAGTTAATTTAGATTTTTCCCTTAGCATCGCCATCTTACCCCAGTTTCCCCTAAACATTATTGTTCCATGGTCTCTCTATCTCTATATAACAACATATCTCAAGTATTATTTAATCTTTCAGCCTGTGTTTCGGAGGACAAATTTAATGGAGAACCAGAGTAGAGGACCCTATAACATCAATAGTTTCTAAGTTGGTAAGTTGACTTTTTTGATTAGATATATTTTTCTTGCATGTTTTTTTTTTTATTTTGCATCTAATGGCAATTTTGTTCCTATATTTTGGTTAGGCTCAGAATTCCAGTAAGGTTCTTCTAGACAAGAAGAGATGGCAATGAGTATCTTACATACATAAGTTCTGTTCTGTGACTTTTTATTATAAATATTATAATTATAAACACGTGTTTTTATTGAATTTATTAATATTTACTAATGCTTTGTGAATTTACAAAGTAATTGTAAACTGTTGACAAGTCAACCGGCCACGTCGTCGTCGGTAGATAACGAAAACATAACGATGCAGCGAAATTAACAAAGGCTACTATGACACCATTTTTTTTTCAATAATTGTATTTTATGTGTGAAATGATGGAAAATCTTGATAGTTAAATAAACAAGACTATATTAGTAAATTAATTTGATGAAAAGGCCGGATAAGATAACATGCTTTTACATTTTAAATAATACGGTAGCCTAGATAATCGGCGGATCGTTTCAAATCTATTATTTATGCAAAACGAGTGAATTAATTATTCAAAACGAATATACGTACCGAAGGCTTGCTGCTGCGGATAAGGCGGCGAAAAGGACTCACCTGAAATAAAAATACGTTAATTAAAACCAGCTAATTACAGGAATAGTTGGAATAACTTAGAGGATACTAAATGAGATCAAACGAAGTTAATTGTTAATAAATTATACGTACTTTTCTTAATAAATTATTATTGTTTAATAATATCTTAATAAATAACCTCTTTTATGAAATTACAACGATTAAAATGCGCTAATTACCTTATAGAAAACAAAATGGTTCTTTAAATTTAGATATTGTTGATCTCTTCGTGTTTGCCCAACATACACTCCAACACGCATATTTGTAAACAAGGTCCATGATCGCCATTCGGTTCTAGGCCGAACGATGCCGCGTAAACAGCATACGATATCGCAAATCCGTCTATAGTAAATAGAATTCGTGATTCCAAATTTTAACTGCCTTAACTCCTCTTAAAAACAGCAGACGATATCGCGAAATTTGCTGATTGGTTGCTCATAATCAGCATTGAAGATCGCAAAATTCACAAGTGCAAGATAAGTCCACCAAAGAATAAATAGTACTAAATAATATTTTACAAAAAAAAATAATTTGCCCCCAAACCACGAGTATATAAATTAATAGATAAAAAAATATTAGAACACGTTTCCTTAAATAGGAAGAAATTGAGGTAAGTTACAGAAATTAAGAAGAGTAATTACTCAAAACAAATTAACTTAAAAAAAAAACGATTATAAATTGAAACCAAAAAGTGGCTGAATAAAATTACAGAATGTTTTAAATTTCCAGGACATTTTACTCAATGCTTAGAGAATGACCAACTTTACTTCGAAAATTTAAAATAAAAACTACACATTGTGTAGTTTCTTTGCAGGTAAAATTTGACTTTTTCTAGTACAAGAAGATCAAGAAGAATGTAACTTAGTTCCTTCTTCAATATTTTTTATAGTTAAGAAAACATTTTTTTTTAAGAAAAGTTAGGTTATAGTTACAAACTTATATTGAGTTCTATGGAAAACATATTATATCTCTATTTTCATTTTTCTGTTCATTTCTCTCGACACGATTTTAGGTTTTACTTCATAGTGCTCTATAATAATCCAAGAACAGTTAACCTAATAGGACTGCTCATTCAGCCAAAAGTGTCCGCCAGGTGCATGCGAAAACTACTCGCTTTGTGACGTCATTGTAGCCCTTGTCATGGTTATTAGTCCTTATCCGGCAACCAATAATACACACACGGGCATTATTGGTTACCGAATGCAAAACGTTCATTATTTAGTTTATTTTTTGTGTTTATTTATTTAAACACCTTATATGTATGCAGTAAAGAAAATTAACTGTATAAATCGTATTAAATACTCGGATAATGCATTTTTAAGAACAACAGGTCCCAGCATCACCTTTTGCAAGCATTCTTTTTAGAGTACTTCCATATTTTGCTTTAAAATAATTAATAAACAAAATCGTGGGCACTTAGTAAGCACTTTGTCACAATCCACAACACAAAATGAACGTATTTACACACTCTATAACTCTAAAAACTTTAAAGACACCTTTTTCACATTTAAAATTGACAAAATAATTAACTCAAAATTTCTCAGCTGTTATTTTTATAAGTTTACCATAGGCAACTAAAAATACACACTATCATGACAAGGCCACGAAGGCTATGACAAGGGCTACAATGACGTCACAACTGTCAGCTGAAGCGCGGGAAGAGGCGAACGTATGTCTTATGAGGATGAGCAATCCTATTAGTTTACCGTTCTTGATAATAATCGACATTTTTATGAATCAATAGCACGTCAATGTGTATTTTTTCGTACGATCCAAAGTTCAGCAGCAATATGTGCGGTTGTTATTGGAAGGGGTGGCCGCTTGAAAAAAAAACTTTTTTTACTTTTAAGTTAAGCTCGTTTAATTTTGTTGAGGAAGAAAATTTGCGACCCCGAATGCTGATTACGAGCAACCCATTAATAAATTTTGCGATATCGTCTGGTGTTTATAACAGGTGTTAAGGCAGTTAAAATTTGGAATCACGGATGCTATTTACCACACGGATTTGCGATATCGTATGTTGTTTACGCGGTATCGTTGTGCTTGTTTGTAATATATTTTGTACTCGATTTTGGTATTATACTTTTTGAGTTAGTTTTAAGAGCCTATTTAATGCTGTATGCTGTATTGTTCGGGTCGCTCTCAGGGGTCGGGTAAAGCGGATGTGGCCGAAGGAAATATATATTATATTTCAGAAATCTGCCTAAGGCTTAGCCTGATTCTGTCGTGTTAAGCCACACCCAAAATTCCAAACGCACGTGCTTGGATTAAGGTTTGTAGAGCTTCAGCATTTGCCATAAAATAGCGAGAAATTTGTTACAAAACCATATAAATTATACAGGGTGTTTCAAAACAAATGCGGAAAACTTCAGGGGGTGATTCCTTGTTCAAAATAAAGGGTAGTTTGCTTCATAAACGTTGGGTCAAAAGTCAACCATTAGGGAGATATCGCGATACAAAGATGGCGGAAAAATAATGTTCTTATTTTTTATCTTGAAAACGAAAAGAGATAGACTAATGAAATTTTATGGAAGCATTACTGTTATGAAAACACACTTTCTGGTAATTTTTCACTTTTTAAAATGAGTGGAAGGGGTTGAAATAAACTACCCCTATCATTCTTGTTAACGAAATTTAAAGAAAAATCTTATCAAACACATGCAAAAAAATTAATTTTGCATAGTTTAGTTTGTTTAGAAACTTTTTCTCTCTTGTATTTTTTTATAAAACTCACCGATTTGAAATTAAAAATAAAATGTAAAGCATTACATGTCAGGACTAAAAATATTTTTAGATTAAGAATCTAGTGATAATAATGATAATAATAATAATCTAGATAATAACGTATTGCAGTAGGGTAATGGTCAAATAAAACAATATTAGAAACATCCTAAAAAAGTGACAGCGGCCGACTAGTTTTTTTCCTAAAAAATTACAGCTGCCCACTAGATTCTTTATCTAAAAATGTTTTTTGTCCTGACATGTAATGCTTTACATTTTATTTTTTAATTTCAAATCGGTGAGTTTTATCAAAAAACACAAGAGATAAAAAAATTTCTAAATAAATCAAAATTAATTTTTTTGCATGTGTATGATAAGATTTTTCTTTAAATTTCATTAACAAGAATGATAGGGGTAGTTTATTTCAACCCCTTCCACTCATTTTAAAAAAGTGAAAAAATTACCAGAAAGTGTATTTTCATAACAGTAATGCTTCCGTAAAATTTCATTAGTCTATCTCTTTTCGTTTTCAAGATAAAAAATAAAAACATTATTTTTCCGCCATCTTTGTACCGCGATATCTCCCTAATGGTTGACTTTTGTCCCAACGTTTATAAAGCAAACTACCCTTTATTTTGAACAAGGAATCACCCCCTGAAGTTTTTCGCATTTGTTTTGAAACACCCTGTATATCACTGTAATCACAAAACTTCAATCTATTTCCGTATTGTAACGGAATTTTAAATTATGTCTTTATTTTCGAGAAATTTAGTCCAAACATAAGGAATATTTTGTTGATGTTTGACCATCAAAATCTTAAAAATAGAGGTTGTCTAAAAATGTGCTACAATACGGATATAGTATAATCCTTTATTTTTAATTTCCTTCTTCATTTGTGTAAAAATACCTAGCCAGTTTTACATAAAACGTTAAATGTCGAAAGTTATTTTGCTACTTTTTCAGACTAGTGAAATGGACTCTTAAGTAATTAAAGAAAAGCAACAGCTTTTTTTCTGTTGTAATACAAAACGCTCTTAATCCGCCCCTGTTCTTATCAATTAAAACAATTACCCCTATTCGGAAAGTAAACAGAACAATAAAGGCCCCGTCCCACGCAATGTGGGGTGTTCGAGCGATCGGACCCAGATCCGTATAGTATTCAGCGTTCTCCGTATTTTTCACTCGTTCCAGGAAAACTCAATTGCCACCTCCGCAGAGCATATGCTTTTCCCTCACCTCCCACTTCTCGCAAAAAACGGGGGTGTTTAATAGAGTATTTGCGTCAGTAGGTTCATCCCTAAAGGGAGGTTGTCCGGGGTTAAATACCAAAGGGCAACTGATGGTTGAGATAATGATACAGCAGTGACGGTTATTTAATAAATACACAAGTGCAAGTGAACTTGATACGAGGATTGCCTTTTATAATATTTTGCATAATACAGGGTGGTCCGAACTGTATTCCGGAAACTTCGGCAGCATATTATGCAGATAACAATAAGTAGAAAAGTTCGTATAAATGTATGTCCTAAAATGCTTAGTTTCGGAGATACAGGGTGTAGAAGTTTCATTTTTATTTTGATTTTTTCCAAATAATTTCTGAAGTAACGTCGATATTTGCATGAAAATTGGTGTCTGGGAGTTTTTTGACATGAGAAATTTGATTTTGATGTCAATATGACTCCTACTTGTAGAGGGCGCCACCTACATATTTTTTAACTGTTTTGAAGAGTAATACCTTTTCGTCTGCACCTATATAAAGCTATTATAAAAAAATGAGTAAAAAATATACATTTACTACGTTTTTTACGTAAAAAAGGTCTCTTGGTAAAAATCGCTACCATTAATGTTTCTCGAGTTATTTGGAATCGAAATTATCAATACCTAGGGTTGCCACCAGTCCATTTTTTGAAAAGGACTGTCCTTTTTTGGAAGAAATTGTACTTTTGACTTTTTTTTATCTAAAAAGTCCTTTTTATTTACGTATTTTCCTGGAGAAAATTATCTACAGCAACCAACAATATTCCTTTCGTCCAAACTTAATTAGGCATGTTATAAAATTAAAAAGGTGCCCGGTGGCGTAGAGGTACAGGCTCTCGTCTACCAATCTCAAGGTAGTGGGTTCGAATCCCACACCCGGCATTTCATCAGCCGACTATTTTTATTAAAATAAAAATAGTTTGGGTACCTAGGTCGACTCAGCCTTAAGTGAGTACTTGGGATTCACAATCCTGAGGTAATAATAGGCGGTTGAAGCGTAGTAC